GGTACGGTATATTTGTGGCGTGTGTAGGGACTTATGAGAGAATCCTGGCTTGCGACTGTTGAATCACATTGAAGATTCATTTAGCACCAACTTTTTATAAATTCATTTAACTTGAAGAGATTTGAAAACAATTTTACGGCTCAATCACGCTTTTACAATTTTCATTTTGTGATTTCGTACTTTTCGATAGCCGTGTTTGAATATAAATATGGCATACGTTTTCCAGACAGATTTCCACGATCAAGGAACGGCTTCGTGTAACAAAAATCAAACCCGCATAATTTGCGTTATCCATCAGTGATAGTAGAGCATCATATAAGCCCGCACGGGTAGGTACCACACCTTATCCACTACTGCCACGAAGCAGTAACGCATTCCAGTTCGCAGTGCTGAATAGCCTATATACAAAATGCATTGAATCCAAATTATGATGTCAATAGGCTCCGGTAACCATTTAACACCAGGCGAATTGTAAGTTCATTAATCTTATACTAAATATTAAAAAATTCTAGGAAAAAAAACCTTTGGCACTCGGGGACTGCCGCGATAAAGCTATTCCAAAGCATTTTTCATCAAAACGGTAGGCGGAGTGGGAGTGTTAGGTTTTATTTTCGTTACGGAATTTCTTGATTCGGCCGCCGCGCTTAAAGCCCGCGATAAAAACTATGCAATATCTTTAAAAAAAAGAACAATATTTTGTACGTCACCATTTCTATTTGCAAATATGTAGGTCAGTTTATATGGAAAACTTCAGAGCCAAACTTTATAATTCACGTTCAGGTAAACTTTACACTTTTCAAACAACAAAACATTTAAATTTACATAAACAATATGAATATTGATTGTGTTATAAATTGGTGATATACACAATGCGATAATCATCTAGACAGTGCATCCGAAGCCCGCCCAGATGGCACCGGTTAGAATGGTCTATCCTACGGAATACCCCGCTGGGTCAGAACCAGCGTGGGTCGAGGATAGCCGGCCCTCCATCACCCGGATGCTCTTGCATAAAACGCGTGCAGAGCAGCTTGCACGTCGTCTTCTTAGGCCCCCTTCGCCGGTCCCCAGGACACTGCAATAGCAATAAACAGAGAATGGTCCCGGAATGGTTTGGTGGACGATAACCCCATCCTCTTTGATTGTTATGTTAAGATTAATCGTTCCAATTGTGTCAAGTGCTGAATGAATTTGTTGTTGATCGAATGTATTTGGTGTAGCCCAATTACTGTTGATTGAATTGTTTCATTGGATACATGGTGCAAATATTAAATTCTAATTTACATTACGATATTCTGAACGATAGTTAAATTCAATTCTTATATCATCAATCGATGGTGGTAGGACGTATGCACTGGTAGGTAACACCACCCTGCCTATTTCTGCCGTGAAGCAGTAATGCGTTTCGGTTTGAAGGGTAGGGCAGCCGTTGTAACTATATCGAGACCTTAGAACTCATATCTCAAAGGTGGGTGGCGGAATTTACGTGGTAGATGTTTATGGGCTCCAGTAACCACTTAACACCAGGTGGGCTGTGAGCTCGTCCACCTATATATCCAATAAAAATAATATGTAAGAAGGCTTATATATTGTATCATTCCCGTATAATATTGTTTGTTTGAAGAAGTGATTACTAAAAGAATTTTGCACTTTCTAAAATTATGAATCTTGAATCTTTACTTCACTTTTGTATGTTTTAAACAAATAAGAATCACTATTTACAAATATCTCCGGTCCTTCAAATTGTTGGCAAAAAATAAACTAAATACTTTCGCCGTATCTTGGTGGAGGAAATACGGAATACGATATGTCCTTGTCGACTTTTTAAGGAGATGAATATCAAGCTTCGGTTCGGTTCGCCTTATGTGAACAGAAGGCAGTAAGCTTTTTAAGCACTCATTCTCAAAGTTTCTCCTCTCGTGCTTTTCCACTAATAGTAACTTATATGTATTTAGTCTTGAAGTAAACAGGGAAAGTGTTAACCGTTTTGCGACCTAAGTCTAGGAAAAGTTGTTAGAAAGTAGTCATATTATGTTCATGAAGATAATTTCATATGTCATTAATGTCATATGAATAGGGTATTTTGTTTTGCGACGGATAATCTCAGGTTTATTCTCTTAAAATAAACTGTTAACTTATAAAAATATGTATATGTATAATGATATCAAATACTCCAGACAATGAAACATTTAACTGCGTTTTCTGTATTATAAATATCAATTTACTGACAATATAAAACTATGTATAATAATTCAATCTAACGAAATATTCACTCACCTGTAATATAAATACGTTGTCTCAAAAAGAAAGTTCAGTGAGATGGATTGCAAAGTAAAAGAATGTAATTAGTTTATCAGACAGAAGAAATAAAAAAGGGGTATTTACTTCAATTTATGTTGTTTCAAACCTTATTTAAGTAACATTTTAAGTTTAAGTAACTTATGTAACAAAATTATATACATATTATACAAATTGACTTTCATGTCAGTGAAGATGGAGAGAGTTCACTACCCACCTGGTTCAATGTTCTCCTACACATTGGAGTGGAACGAATTGCTTTGCACCATAAATCCTGGTAGAGAGTTGTTGGTCAATAACACCACCCCACTCTTTCTATGGGTAAATAAATATGACTAAGAAATTCTCCTTTTTACTGAATCACGGATAGCCTCGAGATTCTACTCCAATTTCACCGGTTTGATAGGTGAATTCACGGGACTTAACCTGAGAGACTTTGCAAACATCTGCTCTAGTAAGAGTAGGGTTTCGCTGACTCTTCTTGAGACGTCCGGTGCATTCGTATATAGCGATGCACCGGTGTTCGAATCCCGCGGGCGGGTACCAATTTTTCTAATGAAATACGTACTTAACGAATGTTAACGATTGACTACCACGGTGAAGGAATAACATCGTGCAATAAAAATCAAACCCGCAAAATTATAATTTGCGTAATTACTGGTTGTAGGACCTCTTGTGAGTCCGCGCGGGTAGGTACCACCGCTCCGCCTATTTCTGCCGGGAAGCAGTAATGCGTTTCGGTTTGAGGGGTGGGGCAGCCGTTGTGACTATACTGAGACCTTAGAACTATATCTCAAGGTGTGTGGCGCATTTACGTGGTAGATGTCTTTGGGCTCCAGTAACCACTTAACACCAAGTGGGCTGTGAGATCGTCCACACATCTAAGCAATAAATCTAATCTAAGCAATAAAAGCCCACTGAAAAGATCAGGCAGCAAACTGTTGTTTCTATGAGAACGGGTACCGATGCTTAGAATGCCTAAAAGCAATGTACAAGATGCAGCAGTGTAACCGAAAATTTCAGCAGAGAATTCCCTTGGAGTTAATTGTTATTCATACGTAGTTTTGAGGTAGCATTCACATCTGAATACACTTTCAGATTGTTACGAGATCGCCCAATAAATGAACTTCCCAAGAAAATATAAGTCTATCATCCAACATGGAAGCCTACGCAACATATTTCAGCTTTAAATATAAATGTTTGTAATTCCAGCGAATGATTAATTATGATTAGGTAACAAGTATTTACGATTTGCGAAACATTTGACTGTCAATTATATGTTGAAGTGACATTTAAGACCATCTGCAATAAATAATAATCATTATATTATTACTTCTGACATCAATAATGTAATCATTCTGAATAATGTATAATATTTCTCATTGTCAGTTTTTATCCTATTGGCTTTCATAATAAAAACCGTTCGCTAGAGTGAGGTAAAGTCTCCCTGGAAATGATAGGCTTTTTTGGTACGGCAGGTACAACGCAGCCGACGGTCGTGCTTATGATCTTTTTTATTTTTATTGCTTAGTTGTGTGGACGAGCTCACGGCCCAATCGTGAACATTTGTTAAATACGTATTTCATTAGTAAAATTGGTACCTGCCAGCAGGATTCGAACACCGGTGCATCGCTAAATACGAATTCACCGCACGACGACTTCCATGGCAGTGATCCTGGCCAGTGACTAGTCTCTGAAGGCAATGCTTGACAGTGGAATGAGAGAGGGAGAGCTCAAGCCTATCCACACGGTCGAAGAAAGGTTTTCGCCTGACTCCATCCCCTATAAGGGGCGTTCTACCCCCTAGTGCAGGCTGAAAGCCGACTGTGGGGACAAGACCATCCTGCGCGCTACCATCACTATATCTATAGCGCGTATGGAAGCAAATCCACAGAAATCCGAAAAGCGACCGGTTGGCAACGTATCGCGATCCCATTCAGTGGGATGGTTCTGGTCCAGCGGGGTGTTCTAGACTCCAGCGGCACCGTCTGCGGCGCCCTGTCAAGCTACCGTACCATTATGGTTGTCATACGACGACTCCATCTCTGAACTCCATTGTAGTCTCGACCATGGAACCCTACCTTCCTTTCTCGGGTTCTGTCTCGGGCGGAACTTTGGGCGAGAACGAAACGGAATCGTTTAGTGGTTGGGCCTTTCACATCTTCGTCCACCGAGCCCTACTTCTATCGCTCGATTCCTCGGCGTGGGGACCTCATAGCAGGCTCGGTACTCGGTACGGAAGAAAAAGCGGGACGTTCGCTGAATTATCACATCATTCCTTAAAGCGGGACAGCGGGTAGGGTAACATAGATGGTGAGATAGATAGCTCAAAATCGTTATTAGCGAGAAAGTTAAGAGGAAACACGAGTTGCCTATAATTTGTTTTAATATAAATCCATAATTCAGTCTGTCTCATAAGAACACAAATAACGAAAAATATCAAATGTCGTGTATTGATTTCTTTCTTAATTTGAAAAACTAGGAAGCATCTAAATCGTACACATTTTTTGTCGTTTTGGGTCCTCCAGCAAACACATTTTATGACCAAAACAAAGCAAACAAGGATGACTAAAGTCTAAATGCTATGTTTAAAACCATATTAAATCGACCTAGTGACAACAAAGAATGAACAGTAACTAAGTAAGCAAAAACAAATGAAATTTAAATTAGAATACATAATTTATCTTCTTTCCAACTTTCAGGTCACACGTCCATCTCGTTTGGATAGCGGACAGACAATGACGAAATAATTCGTAATTCGAACACGACGGTATGGGCAACAGTCTCAGTAGCGCCAACAGCCGGAAATGGCAGAAACGGAAACGACAGCCTCCTTCTCAAACAGAATCATCCAGGGTGCTGTTTCTGCTGTACCTAATACACAGAACTTGGAATGTGCTGGTAGAGCATGTTGACTCTAAAAGTGCAAGGTATGGAACAAAATCAAAATGTCTTAATTTTGACTTGGTCAATTTTTGTACCATTAAACTGTTGGTAAAAAGTTACGAGTGTGCAACCCTAGCTTAATTAAGGCAAGATACTATTTCCTGGCCATGCATCATTAGTAATGCTACGCGCTGGGGCTTGGTATAAATAAAACTTTCACCGAAGTACAAATTAAAACTCTATTTAACACTTAGAGCACTTATGGAACACTTTACAATTCGTAACTCACTTCTTCCGCTTCGCTTCATGTGATCCGTTCGCTGTTTCGCTTCGTGTAGAACCGATTACTAACTACCTTCATGTCATCTCTGCAACAATTTTATAGTCGACATGACAGGTCTACAATTATCGAGAACATTCCCAGTAGGACCAGTCGTTTCGATATGTTTCCGCTATTTGATAACAGATGGCGTTACACTTCTTAAGCGTTCTCACCATTCTGGTATTCGTTTCTGCTATTTGATGACAGATGGCGTTACTCTTACCGGCGTAACAGTAATCAACACATACCCCTGTGCAGTAATAAAATCCTCATTTTTCGGAATCTAAATGAACACATATCCCTCCCTAATTTCCAGATGGCGTGGCTCCCACACAGTGCCAAGTGCTGGTGGCGATCTGGCCAGGGGGTTTGACTCCGTGAGTCTGGCTGACTCCGATCCTGGATCCTGTTACTCGGCTTGCTGCTGCAGCTACTGCCGGTTAAGGGAATGCGCTCAGGATAACACTAGGTACTATTGGAACATTGAAATAATACCAAACCACTAGCCGTAATCATCCATGAACACGTCCAGATTATGAGCTTTAGAATTGAACCTGGGAAAAGGTATTAGGTTCCCAACGATAAATCAAAGGTTCGCTTGGTCTGCATCACCACGGCAATGGCGTAAGAGTTAGTATTTAACTATGTGATTACTTGACCCAGATGATAGTCCCACAGTTTCGATTCCGTATCAAAGTCAATATAATTGTTCAAGATGTTTTTTATTTGTTCCGGATACTATTAATATAAGAAAAATCCTAGCCTAAGCCCTATTTAATGTTGCTCGATTTACTTTGTTTTCAATAAATCATATCTTCACAGGTAAGACTGATATGCAACCGATGGACCCAACTTTTAATTCGTGGTAAGCCATGCAAAAATTTACTCAAGAAGACTACGGTCTTTAGAACAGTAGTTTACGACTTTAGGACCCTCAATCATTAGGCCAAAATTACTTATTCTAGCAATAGTTAATGCTCCTCTCACTAAACCAGTCGTATAGAGACATTTTATATTATTACACTTTTCTCTCAGAGATACTGAACGGTCAATAAGCTGCTATTATCACAAGTATACGGCTAAACAAACACTAGAATCGACAGAATCAAGTCACGTAACATTACTCTGCCCTATTCAAGTTTTAGTTAAAATGTCCTTAATCTATTTGATATTTTCTATATCTATGTTATCTGAATATAACTGTGTTACTCCTATCATTGAACTAATAGAATAGTGTGTTGGATTTTCCCCATTAAATTATATCAGAAAATTTGAAAATTTTTATAATATTTTTACGACAACACGTAAACTTGAATCCATCAATCTTCCCTTATGGCGAACTTTTGATGGCATACAAAATGATGAATTTTTTTTATTAAGGAAATAATTTTAATTTTTTATCTCATTGGTTTGGTTAATGTTATTTCCTATGTTAAACATAAAGCCTTATACTTCCTTCTACTACCTTCAATGTCAAAAATAAATCTATTATTACCTTATATTCTAATACTGTAATTACGGACAAAAGTTTCCTCATTCAAAGTACCTAGTCGTCGCTGCGGTAAGTTCGCGAAAATAATATAAACTTCCCGTATAACGTATTAGGTACAATGATAAATTTTGCATTACAAACTTGAGAAGTTCAAAATGTATTCACATAATTAAATCCACCGCGCCGGTCGGAACTTTGACCATTGTTCCTTGACTGGGGCGTATCGAAGGTTTAAGCTGGGGGCCGTTTTATCTTAAATTTAAAGGCATTTGGAATTGTACGGAGACATCAAACAGCTAAATGTCTTTATATGAGCTTAAAAGATGAATCAACTTCTGCACGGACACGATATTTTTCCGATCTGATTAAAAAATCCGAACAAAATGGCGGAACATCACAGAATTAAAACAATTGTCTTATCATTTGATCAGGACTGACAGTAGTGAGTCAATAGAACAAAAAATTGGCAATTAACTAAAGGCTTTTTATTGTAACGCGACTGGTAGCACGTGCTCCTTCTGTATAAAATTTATCTAAAATAGTAACAATGACACATAGGAATGCAGTGTGTGTATGTGTGTGTTTTTTAATTTTATTTCCCTTATCTGTACACGAGGATTTATTTTACAATAAATTCAGAATTTCTTATGGCATATGACCCCCCAATACCCAATTCAGAGTACGGCCCTGTACTACACAATGATTGATATGAAAACTTTTAAGTGCCGATAGGATTTGCAGATTGCGAATTTAAATTAGTTTTCTGATTCATCTTCCCTTGCTCGGTAAAGTTTTAGAAAAGGGTGAATTGCATTTCTTTGTATGATCCTTTTCTCGATTATCAAATAAGTTTTTCATTTGTTTTGAAACTATGCTAATTTTGTGAGCTTAAATGCCCGCTGAGTTTCTCGCCGGATCTTCTCAGTGGGTCGTGATTTCGATCCGGTGTTAGATTCTGCGAGCACTGCTCTAGCTAAGGCTAGTTGTACGATAGCTCAGTTTTATGATATTTTAAAGATTTCACGACTCCTTTTTTCAAATGTTGCACAAACTGCGGCAACACGTAGCGCTAGTGTCGCGCTCAGTAGATTGCGCGAGTACCGGGCAAGTTGGCGGGAGATTTCAAAATGTAAACCCCAAAATCAAACACTAGTGTTAGGAAATTCGCCAAGCTTGTGAGTTCGTCTACACCGTAGTTGAAGCTTGTAAATATAATATAACCTCTCGAAACTACTAGCAGAGATAGACAATGATTTTTTTTATTGTGATTTAGCGCTACCTATCGACTCTAGTTATGAAATGAAGTTATTAGAGAAAACACGAGGATTTTCACGATTTCACTAAAATTTTTTATACGCTTTTATTAGCTTCATGCGTATGTTAGTATGCAACGGAATCTTTGAACATGATTTTTACCCCCTTTAAAACGTCGGATTAACTCGAAATTGGGTGTACTTATTAATAAGTATGTCAAATTTCAAAGTCCTTAAGAACCGATGACAATTCAATATTTTAAACAGTTTGATCCGATATCCTTACTAGGATAATCAGAATTAGCGATTTTTTGTTTTCCTGAGACCCGGAGTGTCTGCGTCAAGACCAAGAAGGGAAACTAGCAGACGCGCCGATCACCTATTTCTCGGATAACTTACCGATTGATTCAAATGAAATTTTTGAAAAATTTAAAAAAAAATCTAACTCCACAGACACGCGATACTTTTTTATATAGTCATTAGATAGAAAAACAATTGATATTTCGAATGTTAATATTTCGATTCTCGGAGTTTTATAATGGACAGTGCTTGTTTTGGACATAATAATTAGCTTAGAAGGGAAAATACTTTTGTATTTCTAATTAATTTAAACCGGGCTAATAATTATCTTATTTAAAGCTAACTAGGGGATGACCGATTTCATATATTGTGTTTTTTAGAAATTATATTTAAATACGAATTACATATTAATATTATATTATTTGTTATTTTCTTTTAATAAAAAAAAAAAGATTATGTTTAAGTTGATTATCGATAACTTTGATTATTGAAGACACGAATAAAACAACATTTTCTGAAAATAAATCGTAGCTAGATCGATTTGTCGCCCCCGAAATCCCCTGTATACTAAATTTTATGAAAATCTTTGGAGCCGTTTCCGAGATTCAGATTATATATACGAATTATATACAAGAATTGCTCGTTTAAATATAGAAGATATTTTTATGGGTTCAACGCACTTAAGTCGCTCGCATGGGTGCACACAACGAATTTATTGAGGCGATCGTAAATGGTAGGTTCCAACCACTTTTTTGCTGCAGATAACAAAGACCTTAACCTGATGTATACAGTGATTGTTTCGCGGCATAAAAACGGCATAGTGCTACCGGTCAGGGCAGGCTTGCTTACGTATAAACGCCATAAAATATCAGCTGACTATTACAATATCTTGATAACAATATTCAGAGAACGTTGCTGCCCTTATGATTATCCCTGACCTTATTTTACCCACAAGGAGAAAATGCGCCAGATATCTAAACTCAACATCGTAAATCAAACCCGCAAAATTATAATTTGCGTCATTACTGGTGGTAGGACCTCTTGTGAGCCCGTGCGGGTGGGTACCACTACCTTGCTTATTTCTGCCGTGAAGCAGTAATGCGTTTCGGTTTGAAGGGTGAAGCAGCCGTTGTACAGCTAAAAGTGAGACTTTACAACTCATGTCTCAAGGTGTGTGGCGGCATTTACGTTGTAGATGTCTATGGGCTTCGGTAATCACTTGACACCAGCTGTGAGCTCATCCAACCATCTATACGATAAAATAAAAAAATCCAATTACTTAGCCACATTTTACCAATGATAATAAAATGCCCCTGACAGCCAAACTCGACATCGTAAATACAACATTAGTATTATATACAATTGAACGTGTGCAGTAACTAGAAAGTGAATTTGTTGACGCGTTAAATTCATATAATTTAACTTGCAAACAAACGCTAAGCCGTATTCAACATTGAGGAAATGAAAGTGCGAATAAAAAATTAAAATTATAATTATAAACGTGCTTATATAGTTCATATGAAATTCAAAGATACGATAACGGGTGATCTTAGAAGCGAAGGGTAATCAGAGATAGCCGAGTGACGGATGCCTGGGTTACCAGTAGGGGGTCATCCACAAATTACGTCCCGTGAAGGATTGGTATCAAACACAGATATCAAAAGGTAGGATAGGTATCAAAGGGCAGGATAGGTATCAAAGAATAGGATAGGTATCAAAGAATAGGATAGGTATCAAAGAATAGTATAGGTATCAAAGTATAGGAAGGGAGGATATCATCGGAATGTGACATTGTGTGACAAGGAGCACTGGGATAAATGTTTTATGACGTCACCAATTAAGATTTAAAATACTGACTAAAATACTAATTAAATTATTCTTTCATTGTTTCCTGAGTAGTCCTTTGCTTTCTCTGTTATCTAAAATGCTTAATACTTTAAGGTTGATGCTAAAAATAAGAAATGAAAATAGCTTTTATTCTTTCAATTGTTACTTATAAATGTGACAAAGTGACAACCTGCCACAAGGACGGGAGGGGGCGTTAAAAAGGGCTTTTTTGCTTTTGTAGGCAATCGAGCATACCTGATATGGTCACCGACGCTCATAGATGTCAGCAATTCCAGGGACATAGCCAAGCCGCTGTCTACCATTCAGTACTCTCTGCAAGTCCCGTTTGAAGAAGGACATGTCATAGCGCTCAGGATACACCATGCAAGGGAACTCATCCCAAAGCCGGATGGTACGTGGAAATGCACTGTTTGCCGATTATTGCGATTCATGTATTAGTCTGATTTTTAAACACATCGAAGGCTTTAGCACCAGCGCAAAATACCGGCAATAAAACAACTTATTTACAATTTTTTTTAAAGTACTAGACTTTGTTCATTTCACCGATTTATCTCAGGGCTGTAACTTTCTTTGTAAATGTTTTTTTTTATTGCTTAGATGGGTGCACTAGCTC